GTGCACGCACGCGTGTGCATGGAGGGGTTGCGTGCACACACGCGTGTGCATGGAGGGGTTGCGTGCGCACACGCGTCTGCATGGAGGGGTTGCGTTCACACGCGTGTGCATGGAGGGGTTGCGTTCACACGCGCGTGTGCATGGAGGGGTTGCGTGCGCACACGCGTGTGCATGGAGGGGTTGCGTTCACACGCGTGTGCATGGAGGGGTTGCGTTCACGCACGCGTGTGCATGGAGGGGTTGCGTCACACACGCGTGTGCATGGAGGGGTTGCGTGCGCGCACGCGTGTGCATGGAGGGGTTGTGTGTGCACACGCGTGTGCATGGAGGGGTTGCGTGCGCACACGTGTGTGCATGGAGGGGTTGCGTGCGCACACGCGTGTGCATGGAGGGGTTGCGTGCGCACACGCGTGTGCATGGAGGGGTTGCGTGCACACACGCGTGTGCATGGAGGGGTTGTGTGCCACACGCGTGTGCATGGAGGGGTTGTGTGCACGCATGTGCATGGAGGGGTTGCGTGCGCACACGTGTGCATGGAGGGGTTGCGTGCGCACAGGCGTGTGCATGGAGGGGTTGCGTGCGCACACGCGTGTGCATGGAGGGGTTGCGTGCGCACACGTGTGTGCATGGAGGGGTTGCGTGCGCACACGCGTGTGCATGGAGGGGTTGCGTGCGCACACGCGTGTGCATGGAGGGATTGCGTGCGCACACGCGTGTGCATGGAGGGGTTGTGTGCACGCACACGTGTGCATGGAGGGGTTGCGTGCGCACACGCGTGTGCATGGAGGGGTTGCGTGCACACACGCGTGTGCGTGGAGGGGTTGCGTGCGCACACACGTGTGCATGGAGGGGTTGCGTGCACACGTGTGTGCATGGAGGGGTTGCGTGCACACACATGTGTGCATGGAGGGGTTGCGTGCACACATGCATGTGCATGGAGGGGTTGTGTGCACACATGCGTGTGCATGGAGGGGTTGCGTGCACACATGCATGTGCATGGAGGGGTTGCGTGCACACACGTGTGCATGGAGGGGTTGTGTGCACACATGCGTGTGCATGGAGGGGTTGCGTGCACACATGCATGTGCATGGAGGGGTTGCGTGCACACACGCGTGTGCATGGAGGGGTTGCGTGCGCACACGCGTGTGCATGGAAGGGTTGTGTACACGCAGACCCTTGTCCCCCCCAGCACTGCTCTGTGTCCCCTCCTTGCTGCGGACCTGGGGTTGGGTGCTGAAGGTCAGGGACCTGTCCCCATCCTCATCCCATCCACATCCACAGCCTCATTCCTGTCCCCTTTCTCTTCGCCATCTCCATCCTCGCCCTTGACCCCATGCTCATTCCATCCCTGTCTCCATCCCTGTCTCCATCCCTGTCTCCATCCCCATCCCTATGCCCTTTCCCTTCCCCATCCTCGCCCTTGACCCCATGCTCATTCCACCCCTGTCTCTATCCCTGTCTCCATCCTCATCCCTATGTCCTTTCCCTTCCCCTTCCCCATCCTCGCCCTTGACCCCATGCTCATTCTATCCCTGTCTCCATCCCTGTCTCTATCCCTGTCTCCATCCCCATCCCTATGTCCTTTCCCTTCCCCTTCCCCATCCTCGCCCTTGACCCCATGCTCATTCCATCCCTGTCTCCATCCCTGTCTCCATCCCCATCCTTATGCCCTTTCCCTTCCCCTTCCCCATCCTCGCCCTTGGCCCCATGCTCATTCCATCCCTGTCTCTATCCCCGTCTCTATCCTCATGCCTTTTCCCTTCCCCATCCCCATTTCCATCCTCATCCTCGTGCTCATCTTCATCCACCTCCTGCTCCTCATCTCATTCCCATCCCACTCTGGTCCCCATCCTTATTCTGTGCTGCTCCCCACCTTTCTCCCATCCTTATCCCTTTTCTCCTTCCCCATCTTCATCCTCATTCTCATCCCCGCTGCCATCCTCTTTCCATTCCCATCCCCATCCTTGTCCCCATCCTTATCCCTTTCACATCCCCATCCTCATCCTCTTCCTCATCCTTGTCCCATCCCTGTCCCCATCCTGTTCCTGTCCCTACACCCATCCATTGGATAAGGTTCAACACACAGGGAATTCCCTGGGAGCTGGACACTGGTGTGAGGGCACTGGGTGCATGCAGGGACACACACGTGCAGGGCATTGGGTGTGTGCAGGGATACACACGTGTAGGGCACTGGGTGCATGCAGGGACACACACGTGCAGGGCATTGGGTGTGTGCAGGGACACACGTGTACCTGGGTGCCTCAGGGTGTCTGTGTCCCTGCAGGGATGCGGTGCGGAAGCAGAAGCGGCTGGAATGTGGGGGGCTGCCCCCCACTGAGCTCCCCAGCCAGCAGCTGGGACCCCTGGCAGCACCCCTGGCCCCCGGCACGCAAGGTGGGTGCTGAGGTGGGGGGAGAGGGGATGGATGGATGGGTGTGTGGATGGATGATGGATGGATGGATAGATGGAAGGATGGATGGATGGATGGATGGTTGGATGGATGGATGGATGGATGGATGGATGGATGGAGGGATGGATGGATGGATGGATGGATGGATAGATGGATGGAGGGATGGGTGGATAGATGGATGGATGGATGGATGGATGGATGGATGGAGGGATGGATGGATGGATGGATGGATGGATGGATGGATAGATGGAAGGATGGATGGGTGGATGGATGGATGGATGGATGGATGGATAGATGAAAGGATGGATGGGTGGATTGATGGATGGATGGATGGATGGATGGTTGGAAGGATGGATGGATTGATTAATGGATGGAAGGATGGATGGATGGATGGATGGATGGATGGATGGATGGATGGATGGAAGGAAGGAAGGAAGGAAGGATGGATGGAAGGATGGATGGATTGATGGATGGATGGATTAATGGTTGAACGGATGGATGGAAGGATGGATGGATGGATGGATGGATGGATGGATGGACGGACAAGACAGATGGATGGATTAATGGATGAATGGATGGATAGATGGATGCATGACCAGGTTGGCCCAGAGAAGCTGTGGCTGCCCCATCCTTGGCAGTGCTCAAGGCCAGGTTGGACACAGGGGCTTGGAGCAAGCTGCTCCAGTGGAAGGGGTCCCTGCCCTGAAGGAGCTTTAAGGTCCCTTCCAACCCAAATCTGTCTGGGATTCTGTGATTCTATGGGTGGGAGGATAAGTGGATGGGTGGGAGGATGGAGGATGGATGAGCAGATGGGTGCATGGATGGATGGATGGATGGATGGATGGATGGATGGATGGGTGTGTGGATGGATAGATGGATGGATGGGTGTGTGGATGGATAGATGGATGGATGGATGGATGAGTGGATGGGTGAATGGGTGAATGAATGGATGGATGCATGGATGGATGGGTGGATGGATGATGACTCTTATCATGGAGGGAACATGAACCTGAGGGCTCAGTGCCACAGCCCCCAGTTCCCCCAGTCCCACCCCTCTCTTGTGTTCCAGTGCTCATCCTCCCACTGGTGGACAAGGAGAGCGGGGCCGTGGTGTGCGTCATCCTGGTGAGCACGGGCACATGGGCAGGGCTTTGGGGTGAGAGCAAACCCCAGCCCTCGGGCTCCTCACCCCACAACCCCTCCTCAGGTGCACTGCGGCCAACTGAGCGACCTGGACGAGCAGAACCTGCGGGCGCTGGAGAGACACGTGAGTGCCTTGGCTCTGTTATGGGTCCCATCACCCCGGTCCCCGGCCACCCATCCCCAGTGGGACCCCACACTGGGACCCCGCACCCATCCCCTCTGTCCCTGTCCCTCTGCAGACCCTGGTAGCGTTCCGGCGCCTGCAGGCCCTGCAGAAGCTGCAGCCCTGGCCCCAGGTCAGCCTCTCCACCAGTTCCTCCCAGACCTCCTTGGCCAAGGCTGAGAAGGGGCCCAACAGCAGCTACAGCGCCCTGGACTGCAAGATCCTGCAGCTCTGCGGTGAGGGGTGGGGGGGGCAGTGGGGTCGGGGTGCAGGGCAGGGTGATGGTGGGTGCTGAGCCCCTCTCGCCCCTCCTGCAGGTGAGCTCTATGACCTGGATGCTGCCTCGCTCCAGCTCAAGGTGGTCAACTATGTGAGTAGTCACCCCAATGGTCCCCAGTGTGTCCCAGCATGGGGACACCCCGTTTTATCCCCCATCCCCATATAGAATGTCCCTCAAAGCAAAGAAAACCTTCAAGTCATCAGTAGTGACCAGGGTGAACAGCCTTGTCCTCACCATCAGCAGTGACCAGGGTGAACAGCCTTGTCCTCACCATCAGTAGTGACCAGGGTGAACAGCCTTGTCCTCACCATCAGCAGTGACCAGGAACAGCCTTGTCCTCACCATCAGTAGTGACCAGGGTGAACAGCCTTGTCCTCACCATCAGGGTGAACCTTTCCAGCCACAGGAAGAGGTTCTAGGGGGGCCCCTTGTCCTGTGTGCACCTTGTGGGTACCCAGGGAGGTGACAAAGGGCCAGATCCTTCCCTGGGGGTCCTGGGGCACATTGAAGTGGTGACCCCCCCTTTATCCCCCCATAGCTGAAGCAGGAGACCCAGTCCCTGTGCTGCTGCCTCCTGCTTGTGTCTGAGGACAACCACCAGCTCTTCTGCCAGGTGGGTCCCACTGTGATCCCCCCACCCTCACCAGCACCCTATGGGGCCAGGGGGCACCCCCTAACCCATCTCCATGGGGCTCAACCACCATCTCATGGGTTCTCCTCCCCACATCTCTTGTAGGTGGTGGGGGACCGTGTCCTGGAGGAGGAGATCAGCTTCTCGGTGAGTGGGGTGATGAGGGGATGGAGATGTGGGGTGCAACGGGTGCCATGGGCTCACCCATCCCCTCCACCCACAGCTCACCTTCGGGCGCCTGGGGCAAGTGGTGGAGGACAAGAAGTCCATCACCTTGAAGGACATCAGCGAGGTGGGTCCCATCCTGGACGTGGATGGGGACACGCTCCTGTGAGGGTCCCCCTTGGTGTCCCATGGGGTGCCCATCTCCGCTGCTCCCACAGGAGGAGCACAAGCAGCTGAGCAGCATGCTGGGCTGCCAGGTCACCTCCATGCTCTGTGTCCCCGTCATCAGCCGTGCCACCTCCCAAGTGGTGGCATTGGCCTGCGCCTTCAACAAGCTGAGCGGTGAGAGGTGAGCACGGGCACCCGGACCCCTTCCAGGTGCCTTTTGGGTACCACCATGGGGTGAGAACAGAGCCGTTCGCTCTGGACCCTACTGAGGGCTCTGTGCTGGTGTCCCCATTGGGGTCTTGTCCCCCAATGCAGCTACACAGAGGCGGATGAGCACAAGATCCAGCACTGCTTCTGCTACACCTCCACGGTGCTCACCAGCACCTTGGCCTTCCAGAAGGAGCAGAAGCTCAAGTGCGAGTGCCAGGTGAGGCCGTGTCACGCTAAGCACACGCGTGTGCCCCGTGTCCCGGCATGTGCTGACCCCGTCCCCTCTGTCCTCACCAGGCCCTGCTGCAGGTGGCAAAGAACCTCTTCACCCACTTGGGTAGGTGCTGGTGCAGGGGCAGCGCTGAGGGTGCTGCGCATGGGGATGGGGGCACCAGGGAGCTCGTCCCCATTGATGCCAGCTTGGGTCCCGTTGGGATGTGGTCACAGGAGGGTGGCCGGGGGCTTGCACTGGTGCTGCACATTGTGTGAGCATGGAGAGCTGTGTGCATGCAGGGATGTGTGTGCACGTGTGTGCTGCTGCAGGCACACTACTGCACATACACATGCACTGCTGCATGTATGTGCTGCTGCATGCGCAGGTGAGCTGCTGCACACACACTAATACACTGCTGTGTGCGCACACTGCTGCACACACATGCACTGCTGCACATGCAAAGCACTGCTGCATGCACACTGCATGCACACACATGCACTGATGCACACACACGCACTGGTGCACATACAGTGCTGCACACACACATCACTGCTGCATGCACACACATGCACTGACACACATACACGGCTGCACACACAAATGGCTGCTGCATGCATGCACATGCACTGATGCAGATGCACTGATGCACACACATGCAGTGCTGCACACACATGCATTGATGCACACACATTGATACACACACTGCTGCACACATACTTCTGCACATGCACTGCATGCACGCACACATGCACTGCTGCACATGCACTGCATGCACACACACATGCACTGCTGCACACATACTTCTGCACATGCACTGCATGCACACACACTGCATGCACACACATGCACTGCATGCACACACATGCACTGCTGCACACACGTGCACTGCTGCACATGCACTGCTGCACACACATGCACTGCTACACATGCACTGCATGCACACACACACACGCACTGCTGCACGCACACACTACACTGCACTGGCTGCTGGCCACTTGCATGTGCTCTGTCACCCTATGGTGTGCGCATACACATGCATGCACAGACACACACACACACACACATGTACACACACACACACACATGCACATGCACACATGCACACACATACAAGTCCACACGCATGCTCCCATACCCCTGCAGTGGGGGGGGGTGCAGGCAGATCCCCCCCTTCCATTGCATGGGTGGGCAGGGAAAGTGCGATGGGGAAGCAGGAAACGGGGGGGGGGGGGCCTCGGTCAGCCCCTGACCCCCCCCTCCCCTCCCCGCAGACGACGTCTCCGTTCTGCTCCAGGAGATCATCACCGAGGCGCGGAACCTCAGCAACGCCGAGATGTGAGTGAGCCCCTTTGGGGGGGGTGTGGGGGGGGTGACACCATTGGGGTGCTGGGGGACCCCCCCCTCGGGTGCCAGCAGCATCAGCGTCTGTTGCAGATGCTCCGTGTTCCTGCTGGACCGGCTCAGCCACGAGCTGGTGGCCAAAGTGTTTGATGGAGGAGTGGTGGATGATGAGGTGAGAGCGGGGAGCACACAATGGGGCTTGGGGGGTGCCCGGGGTCCTGTCCCTAAAGTGATGTGGAATCAGGGAATGGGGGGGGATGAAGGGAGCTTAAAGCTCCTCCATTCCCAACCCCTGCTATGGGCAGGGACCCCTTCCACTGGAGCAGCTTGCTCCAAGCCCCTGTGTCCAACCTGGCCTTGAGCACTGCCAGGGATGGGGCATTAACAACCTCCCTGGGCAACCCATTCCAGTGCCTCAGCATCCTCATAGTAAACAGCTTTTCCCTTATATCCAATCTAAACTCCCCCTGTTTTGGTTTGAACCCATCACCCCTTGTCCTATCACTACAGTCCCTAATGAAGAGTCCATCCCCAGCATCCCTATAGGCCCCCTTCACACACTGGAAGCTGCTCTGAGGTCTCCACGCAGCTTCTCTTCTCCAGGCTCAACAGCCCCAATTCCCCCAGCCTGGCTCCCCATGGACCGCACTGGTACCCACACGGTCACACTGACAATGCCTCAATCCATATCCCTGCTCCAGAGCTACGAGATCCGCATCCCCGCTGACCAGGGCATCGCCGGGCACGTGGCCACCACGGGCAAGATCCTCAACATCAAGGATGCCTATTCCCACCCGCTCTTCTACCGCGGCGTGGACGACAGCACCGGCTTCCGCACCAGGAACATCCTCTGCTTCCCCATCAAGAACGAGAGCCAGGGTGAGGGCTGATGGGGGCACGGGGCCGGCACTGGGAGATGGGATCCATGTGGGTGGTGGTGGTGGAAGGGTGCCCTGGGGCATGGGGATGGCATCAGGCCCTGGCACACAGGCACTAATGCACTCTAAGGATGTGGTCAGCATCCTGTTCCTCAGCACATGGGCACAGCACTGGCAACAGCATCTGGGTACCATTACTGTGCCCAGCACACAGGCATGATCCTGTCCCCTGCCCATGGGCACAGCACTGCCAACAGCATCTGGGTACCATTCCGGTGGCACCATCCTCTCCCTCAGCACATGGGGACAGCACTGTCAACAGCATCTGGGTACCATTCCGGTGGCACCATCCTGTCCCCAGCACACGGGCACAGCACTGCCAACAGCATCTGGGTACCATTATGGTAGCACCATCCTGTCCCCAGCACATGGGCATGATCCTGTCCCCTGCCCATGGGCACAGCACTGTCCCTTTTACATGGGCATGATCCTGTCCCCTGCCCATGGGCACAGCACTGTCCCTTTTACATGGGCATGATCCTGTCCCTGCCCATGGGCACAGCACTGTCCCTTTTACATGGGCATGATCCTGTCCCTGCCCATGGGCACAGCACTGTCCCTTTTACATGGGCCTGATCCTGCCCCTGTGCCCCCTCGGTCCCCCTGCAGAGGTGATCGGGGTGGCGGAGCTGGTCAACAAGATCAATGGGCCCTGGTTCAGCAAGTTCGATGAGGACCTGGCCACCGCCTTCTCCATCTACTGCGGCATCAGCATCGCCCATGTACGAGAGGGGGCAAGGGGGGCCCGGGGATGGACACAGCACAGGGGTGATGGGGGGGACATGGTGTGGTCCCCAGTCCTTGGGGATAGGCGGTGGAGGGGATGGGATAAAATGGGATGAGATGGATTGGGATGGGATGGAATGGGATGAGATGGGATGGAATGGGATGGGATGGGATGGGATGGGATGGGATGGGATGGAATGGGATGGTATGAGGTGGGATGGAATAAGATGGGGATGGGATGGATGGGATTGCATGGGATGGGATAGGATGGAATGAGATGGGATGGATGGGATAGGATAAGATGGGATGGAATGGGATGGGATGGATAGGATAGGATGGGATGGGTTAGAATGGGATGGGATGGATGGGATGGGATGGATGGGATGGGATGGGATGGGATGGGATGGATAGGATAGGATGGGATGGGATGGGATGGAATGGGATGGGATGGATAGGATAGGATGGGATGGAACGGGATGGGATAGGATGGGATAAGACGGGATAAGATGGAATGGGATGCGATGGATGGGATGGGGTGGGTTGTCATGGGATGGGATGGATTGGGATGGGATGAGATGGGACGGGATGAGGATGGCATGGCATGGTAAGTGAAGGGATGGATGGGGAGGGCACACATGGATGTTCTGGCTGACTGGTAGGGACTGGGAGGTACTGGGAGGCTTTGTGCCCCCCCAGTGCTCTCATAACCACCCTCCCCCCCCCCAGTCTCTGCTCTACAAGAAGGTGAATGAGGCGCAGTACCGCAGCCACCTGGCCAACGAGATGATGATGTACCACATGAAGGTGCGGGGACACGGGGACAGCGATGGGGACACGAGCTGGGACCCCCCACCACCCCCATGGTGCAACCCCACTGTGGGGTGGTACCCTGGGGATGCTGTGGGGGGACACCCTGATGACCTGCTCATGCTGCAGGTATCGGATGATGAGTACACGAAGCTGCTGAACGAGGGCATCCAGCCCGTGGCCACCATCGACCCCAACTTCGCCAACTTCACCTACACCCCGCGCTCGCTGCCCGAGGATGACACCTCCATGGTGAGGGCCCCAAACTGCAGCTGCCTGCCTGGGGGGGGACCCTGCTGGGCGCTGTCACCCGCTGCCACCCCCCTGTCCCCTCCACAGGCCATCCTGAGCATGCTGCAGGACATGAACTTCATCAACACCTACAAGATGGACCGTCAGACACTCACCAGGTGGGGCTCCATCCCTGTCCTCATCCTTGGCACCGTCCCCATCCTTATCCTTATCCTTAGCCTTATCCTTATCCGTAGCCTTAGCCTTAGCCTTAGCCTTAGCCTTAGCCTTAGCCTTAGCCTTAGCCTTAGCCTCACCCTTACCCTTACCCTTACTCTCATCCTTGTTACCATCCCCATCCTTTATCCTTTATCCTTTATCCTTATCCTTATCCTTATCCTTATCCTTATCCTTATCCTTATCCTCACCCTCACCCTTACCCTTACCCTTATCCTTGTTGGTATCTTTACCCTTACCCTTATCCTTGTTGTTATCTTTACCCTTACACTTATCCTTGTTGTTATCTTTATCCTTACCCTTATCCTCCTTGTCTTTGTCCTTATCCTTATCCTTGTCCTTGTCCTTGTCCTTATCCTTGTTATCTTTATCCTTACCCTTGTCCTTGTTGTTATCCTTATCCTTACCCTTATCCTTATCCTTATCTTCCTTGTCCTTATCTTTGTCCTTATCATTATTGTTATCATTATTGTTATTGTTATCCTTATAGAATCATAGAATAGTTTGGGTTGGAAAGGACCTTAAGATCATCAAGTTCCAACCCCCCTGCCGTGGGCAGGGACACCTCGCTCTAAAGATCCTTATCCTTGTCCTTATCTTTATCCTTGTCCCAGTCCCCCTCCCCATCTCCATCCTCATCCCCATCGTTGAGCCCATCCTTATCCTTGTCACCATCTCCATCCCCATCCTGCCAGGGTCCACCCAGCCAATTGAAGGCCCCCGTGGGTACCAAGTCCCCCCCAACCCATATCCCTGTGTCCCCATCCAGGTTCTGCCTGATGGTGAAGAAGGGCTACCGGGACCCCCCGTACCACAACTGGATGCACGCCTTCTCCGTCTCCCACTTCTGCTACCTGCTCTACAAGAACCTGGAGCTCGTCAACTACCTGGAGTAAGGCTGGAGCCCATCCCCGTGCCCTGTCCCCATGGGGTGCTCCCTGCCCTCCCGCCTGCCTCAGTTTCCCTCCTTCCCCCATCTCAGAGACATCGAGATCTTTGCCCTCTTCATCTCCTGCATGTGCCACGACCTGGACCACAGAGGCACCAATAACTCCTTCCAGGTGGCCTCGGTGAGCCGAGCCCGCTGCTGGGATGCGCAGGGGTTGTGGGGATAGGGATGGGGACGGGGCCCAAGGGGTTCTGCACCCCCATAACTCCATGGATCCCACCTCTTTGCCTTGCAGAAATCAGTCCTGGCTGCGCTGTACAGCTCAGAGGGCTCCGTCATGGAGGTAAGGTCCACCCTGGCCATGGTGGTGGGGCAGGACCCTGCCTGCTCCCTGCCTGCTCCATGGTCCTGCCTTCTCCTGCAGCGGCATCACTTTGCCCAAGCCATCGCCATCCTCAACAGCCAAGGCTGCAACATCTTTGACCACTTCTCCCGTAAGGTGAGCCCCAACGCTTGGTCCCTCTTCCATGCTGAGCATCCCATATCCCATCCGAGCTCCCCGGCCCCGGATCCAGCTCTTGGGATGCTGGTGGTCACCTTGCCTGGCCCTGCAGGACTACCAGCGCATGCTGGACCTCATGAGGGACATCATCTTGGCCACCGACCTGGCCCATCACCTCCGCATCTTCAAGGACCTCCAGAAGATGGCAGAAGGTGAAGCCTTTGGGATAAGGGGTCATGGTGGGACCTCAGCCCACCAAGGCTGGGAGCTGGCACCGCAGGTCCCCATAGTCCTCATACAGGGGGGTGATGGGGGCTGTGGGGCTCCTTCCTGAGCCCCCCAACCCCTGCCCCACAGTGGGCTACGACCCCAAGAACAAGCAGCACCACAGCCTCTTGCTCTGCCTGCTCATGACCTCCTGCGACCTCTCCGACCAGACCAAGGGCTGGAAGACCACCAGGAAGATCGCGGTGAGCATCCCACTATGGGGCTGACCCCCTGAGAGCCGCCCCATAGCACCCCCATGTCCCCCATCACTGCCCCTCATCGTGTCCTAGGGAAGAGGTTCTTCCACGAAGGGACCCCATGGCCACGCAGCAGCTCCCCATGCCAGGAGCCTCATGGGGGACATGGAGAGGGGTCTGGGGGATGGATGGGGTGGGGAGGGGTCACCCCAGTGTGCACCCCTCCATGCTGACAGCCTGTCCCTTGCAGGAGCTGATCTACAAGGAGTTCTTCTCCCAGGGTGACCTGGTAGGTGGCACCAGGGCTTGGGCTTGGCCAATGCTCTTGGCAAGCACCAAAGGGGCTTGGGTGAGGTGGGAGGTGGAAAAGGGAGGTCTGGCCCAGTGATGTTATGGATGTTCCACCCCTGGCAGTGCTCAAGGCCAGGTTGGACACAGGGGCTTGGAGCAAGCTGCTCCAGTGGAAGGGGTCCCTGCCATGTCCCCACCTCCATCTTCATCCTTCTCCCCATCCTCATCCCCATCTCTATCCCCATCCTTGTTCCCATTCTTATCTTTGTCCCCATCCTTATCTTTGTCCACATCCCCATCCTTGTTCCCATCTCCATCCTTATCTTTGCCCCCATCCTTGTCCCAATCCCCATCATTGTTCCCATCCCCATTGTTGTCCCAGTCCCCATCCTTGTTCCCATCTCCATCCTTATCTTTGCCCCCATCCTTGTCCCAATCCCCATCATTGTTCCCATCCCCATTGTTGTCCCAGTCCCCATCCTTGTTCCCATCTCCATCCTTATCTTTGCCCCCATCCTTGTCCCAATCCCCATCATTGTTCCCATCCCCATTGTTGTCCCAGTCCCCATCCTTGTTCCCATCTCCATCCTTATCTTTGCCCCCATCCTTGTCCCAATCCCCATCATTGTTCCCATCCCCATCGTTGTCCCAGTCCCCATCCTTGTTCCCATCCCCATCCTTATCCCAATCCCCATCCTTGTTCCCATCTCCATCCTTATCCCAATCCCCATCCCCATTCTTGTTCCCATCCCCATCCTTATCTTTGTCCTCATCCCTATCCTTGTCCCCATCCCCATCCCTATCCTTCCCCCTATTCCCATCCCATCCTCACCCCCATCATGCCAGGGGTTTGTAACTGGATGAGCTTTAAGCTCCCTTCCAACCCAAGCCATTCCATGATGGTTTGACTGGAGAAGGGATCACCATTGACCATCGACCATCTCTACAGGAGAAAGCCATGGGCAACCGCCCGCTGGAGATGATGGACCGGGAGAAAGCCTACATCCCAGAGCTGCAGATCAGCTTCATGGAGCACATCGCCATGCCCATCTACAAGTGAGTGTACCCCCATGGGTGATGGGTCTCACCCACGCTATGGGGCTCCCAAGCAGCGTGGTGGCATCTCAATGGGTTCAGCCCCACAGTGATGGGTTCTCCCCCCATAGGTTGCTCCAGGACCTCTTCCCGAAGGCATCGGAGCTCTATGAGAGGGTGGCCAGCAACCGGGAGCAGTGGACGAAGGTGTCCCACAAGTTCACCATCCGTGGTCTGCCCAGCAACAACTCCTTGGACTTCCTGGATGAGGAATACGACCCCCAGCTCAACGGGTGCCTGGAGCCCGAGGGGGGACACCCCATGGCAGGGGCGGAGTGAAGGAGGTGATGGGGGGGCACCATGGATGGTCCCCCCCCCTACCCCAGCCCATGGGGAGGAGGTTGTGGGGTGGTGGGGATGGACACGAGTGACCCACCTCCCCTCCAGTGGGGACTGGCCCCTTCCTCTGGGGGTTCATTCAGGTGTCACCTTCACCTTGGGGTCCTCTTCAGTGAGACTCTGCCTTGGGACCCTATGGGGACGCTATGGGGACGCCATGGGGACGCTGTGGGGCTGGGTGTGCTTTCAACTGCCTTAAGGCTGCAGGTGTTGTCCCCATAGGGTGACAATGGGGGCAATGTCCTCAATGGAAGCACCCTCAGAGGGTTGTCACCTGAAATGGGGTCAATGGGATGCAGGGGGGCAATGGGAGTGCTGGTGATGGGGTGAACAGCGTGGGGACATCCCTATGGACCCCAAAGGTGGAGCCAAGGCTGGGGAGGTGGGAAGGGAGTGCTGGGGGTGATGAGCCAGGATGAGACCCATGGAAAGAGCCTGGATCTATGTGCAGGAGGCATCTGGAGCAGGATGCCCATGACCATGGGGATGCTCTGCCTGCATCCAGCCCCACCACACTGCGGAACCCCCCCTGCCTCTAACTCCCATCACCCATGGGGGGCCCCGTGTCTTTCACCCAGCCTGGTCCCACCAAACCATGACCCCTGCAAGGGCTACACCCGTGCCAAGGCTGAAGGACTGGTCCCCACCACGTGGTGTCTGTGGGGCTCAGCACCATGGTGCCCATCCTGAAGCCTCCTCACTGCAAGTGGCTGCACCAGTGGCCAACCAGTGGCCAACCCGTCCATGGCATCACCCCGCTGTGACCACCGTGCATGGACCCCACCATTGTCCCTCTGGTCCTATAGACCACCATGCATGGACCCCGATGGTCTCCTGTGGTCCCTCTGGTCCTATAGACCACCATGCATGGACCCTGATGGTCTCCTGTGGTCCCTCTGGTCCTATAGACCACCATGCATGGACCCTGATGGTCTCCTGTGGTCCCTCTGGTCCCATCAACTGCCATGCATGGATCCTGATGGTCTCCTGTGGTCCCTCTGGTCCTATAGACCACCATGCATGGACCCTGATGGTCTCCTGTGGTCCCTCTGGTCCTATAGACCACCATGCATGGACTCTGATGGTCTCCTGTGGTCCCTCTGGTCCTATAGACCACCATGCATGGACATCAATGTCCTCCTGTGGTCGCTCTGGTCCTATAGACCACCATGCATGGACCCTGATGGTCTCCTGTGGTCCCTCTGGTCCTATAGACCACCATGCATGGACCCCGATGGTCTCCTGTGGTCCCTCTGGTCCTATAGACCACCATGCATGGACCCTGATGGTCTCCTGTGGTCCCTCTGGTCCTATAGACCACCATGCATGGATCCTGATGGTCTCCTGTGGTCCCTCTGGTCCTATAGACCACCATGCATGGACATCAATGTCCTCCTGTGGTCGCTCTGGTCCTATAGACCACCATGCATGGATCCTGATGGTTTCCTGTGGTCCCTCTGGCCATGCATGGACCCTGCCAGTGTCCCACCATCCCTCCTGCCTTGCTGACTGATGCCTATGGACCCCACCATCCTCCTGTGGTCCTATTGACCACCATGCATGGCCAGTGATGCCCTCCTGTGGTCCCTCCTGTCCTACCAAGCACCATGCATGGACTCTGATGGTCTCCTGTGGTCCTTCTAGTGCCATCAACCGCCATGCATGGATCCTGATGGTCTCCTGTGGTCCCTCTGGTCCTATAGACCACCATGCATGGACCCTTCTGGCCACCCCATTGTCTCCCCAGCCCCACCACCCGATACGTGTGGACCCCTCTGCTCCACCAGCCCCACAGGGTCCCTCCAGGTCTTTGTCACCCCATTTAAAGCCCCCCAAACCAGCCATGAGCAGGAGAACCAGGGCAGGGGGAGATGGGAATGAGGCATTGGGGTGCACTGAGCCCCTCTGGCTCTTCCATCCAGCCCATGGGAGCTGATGGCTCCATCATCACCACCACGGCAGAGGAAGGTGATGGAAGCAGCACAGGGAAGTCCTGGCTCTACTGGGGTTGGTCCCGATGGGGTTGGTCCCACCAGGATCAAGGGCAGCTTGGCCTGGTCTCCTGGGGTGCCCTGGAGCACACGTGTCTATGGGAGCATCAGGAGAACCTCGCCATGGACAAAGTGAACTCGATTCCTTTTGCCTTACCTACTCGGAGATGCCTTTGCCCAAACCCTGGTAGGACCCATGCGGTGACGACGTTGGCTGCTGGCTTCTCCTACAAGACCCCCCCCTCAAGCCCTTCTCCACCTCCCTTGGCCACCATGAGATGACACAAGAGGGGGTTATGGATGGTCCCACAAGCAGCGAACCCCCACACTGCGAGAGGAGGAAGGTGGCTCCATCCCACCGCTCCTCATCCATCCGGTACCTGCATCCCGGAGCCACTGAGGGAGTCTCACATCCCAGACGGGTGCCGATGGATGCGGGGATGGGGATCCCGCATCCCGGGTACCACGCCATGGCCGAGCGCCGTTTCCCGGTCGGATCCTGCTGTACCAGCCCCGGCCGCTGGAGGGCGCTGCTCACACGGGTCCTGGACGGATGCTCGCGGCGCTGGTTGCGCTGGAGCCCGAGGAGACGAACCTGCTCCTCCTGCTTTGTCTCCTTCTTCTCTTTATTCTTCTCCTCCTTCTCTTTCTCATCCTCCTTCCCTTCTCCTCATTCTCCTCCTCTCCTTCTGTACTTCTTGTTCTTCTCCTCCCCGTCTTCTTTTCTCCTTCTCCCTTTCCCCTTCTCCTCCTCCTCGTTATTCTCCTCTTCTCCTTCTTCTTCCCCTTCTTCTTCTCGTTCTTCTCCTCCTCCCCTTCTTGTTTTCTCCTCCTCCTCCTTCTCATTCCCCTTCTCCTCCTTGTTCTTCCACTCCTCCCAATCTTCTCCTCCTCCTCCTGTTCTCTTCCTCCCCTTCTCCTCCTTCCCCTTCCCCTTCCCCTTCCCTTTCCCCTTCCCTTTCCCCTTCCCCTCCTTTCTTACTCTATAACTTTTGGTGGGTTTTGGTTTCCTAAATAAATTTCATACGTGGATCTCCCCGCGGCGGCTCCGTGGGTGCCTCCTGTGGGGGTCCCCAGGGATGCTCCGGAGCAGGGGTGAGGGATGGGGGTTTGGGGTGCAGGGATGCTACCAGCGATGGGGGAGCCACAGCTTCTCCCCACAGCCCCTTGTCAAGAGCTCTTGTGCTGCTGCCCCAGAGATGGAGCAGGGCTGCGGGGGGGGGTCTCCCCATAGCACAGCAGAGGGGCAGGATCCCCTCCCTGAGCTGCTGCTCACACTCTGGGGGTGCACCCAGCACAGGGGGGGGGGTTCTGGGCTTAAGCCCTCACTGAGGCCAGGTCATGGGGAGCTGCTCCTCACCCAGCACCCCAATTCCTTCTCCTCAGGCTCCATCCCATCGCCCCCAGCCTGGGTTTGTGCTGGGATTGCCCCAACCCAGGGGCAGGACCTTGCCCTTGGCCTGGTTGAGCTCCATGGGGCTCACACGGTCCCACCTCTGCGGGGTGTCCAGGTCCCTGTGGGTGGCAGAACCTCACTGCCTGGGCTCACACTGAAACAGGGGAAGCTCAGGTTGGATCCAAGGCAGAAGCTCTTCCCTGTGAGGGTGCTGAGGCGCTGGCACAGGGTGCCCAGAGAAGCTGTGGCTGCCCCATCCCTGGCAGTGCTCAAGGCCAGGTTGGACACAGGGGCTTGGAGCAAGCTGCTCCAGTGGAAGGGGTCCCTGCCTGTGGCAGGGGTTGGAGCTGGATGGGCTTTAAGCTCCCTTCATCCCAACCCATTCCCTGATTCCATGACGCCCCCCTCAGCCCCATGGCCAGGACTCTGCCCCCATGGCTCACGCTGCCCTTTGTGCATGGCTGTGATTCCCCCCACAGCGTTCCGGGATGCAGGATCCTGGGGTCAGCGTCTCTCCCTCCCCGTGCAGAGCTCAGCTCTGGCCATCACCTCCCCATCAGGGCTGTGGTTTCCATCCCAGCTCCAGGCCTGACTTGAGCCATCCCACTAACAAGCAATTCATTACTGGGATCAATGCAGCGCTTTCATCCCAGCCCCATCCGATGGCTTCATCCCAAAGGAAGTCCCTGGTGGCTTTGACGCTGTCATGGGCTGAGCTGCCAGAATTGGGGTGAAGCCGTGCCTGAAGAGCCCCCATTCCCCCCCCGCCGTGGTCAAACCCAGCCCCACAAAGCCCAGATTGATGCTAAGCAAGTCCCAAAACAGGGTTTTGGGGGGGAAACGGTGGCATTTCAGCTCCTCTGACACCGGTGCCTCCATGGCCCTGGTGACGTCCCTTTGCATACAGGGTGCCACAACCACCCATCAAGCCCCTCACCCCGGCCTCTGGGCTGTACCCGTGTGCACCCATGGGTGCTTATGCGCACGGGCTTTGTGTGGGGCTTGTGGCTGCTTTGTGCATGTGGATGTGTTGCTTGTGCACAGCGCTGCATGGTGATACAGAGCACTGCACTGCACGGTGACACAGAGCACTGCACTGCACTGCACTGCACAGCGCCATGAGACACACTGGATTGCACCCTCATGGCACCACACTGCACTGCACATTGCACTGCGCAGCAGCACCACGTAGCACAAGCCCCACTGGATTGCACCACGCTGCACCGTGCAGCACCACAGGGTGCCCCAGAGCACTGCACCAAACTGCGCTGCACTGCATAGCACTGCACACTACGCTGCACTGCGCACCACTGTACTGCATAGCACCACATTGAACCGTACCAAACCACACTGCACTGCACACTGCACTATGTGTTGCACTGCCCACCACTGTACTGCACAGCACCCATTGAACCATGCCAAACCACACTGCACCGCACCACACCACACTACAGATGACATTGTGCAGCACCACACTGCACACATTGCACAGCACCGCACCACACCAAACCGCACTGCACAGCACCACATGGCACTGCATACACCTGCTCTGCCCCACACTGCACTGCACTGCACTGTGCTGCATACACCTGCTCTGCCCCACACTATGCTGCACCACACCGCACCGCACTA